GCCACGTAGGATGGTAAAAATTTCGCGAGCCAGGTTTCGGGAAGGTGAGTTCGACACCAGTCGGTACTAACTCGTGATACAGGGGTTGGGGGTGCACGCTTGCTTTTTGGGGACTGAACAACCATTTGAAGGCGGCAAACCGGCATGTTTGAGGGTCGGCGTCCCGCCCGGTGAACTTCCGTGAGCCTCAGATTCCCGAAGAGCCTGACCAGAAGCAAACCCCAAACCCCCCAGCCTGTCCATGGCTGACTTTAAGTTCCAAGTTAAGTGCTTGCAGCGGGCACCCGCGTTTGCTCCAGTTGCACCCGCAGTTTATGGTTGGAACCGACTACACAATAGCTGTCAGCGAAAGCCCATAAGTTCAACACAGTGTGCTAGAACCATTGTCGCTAAATTGTGTAGGGCCGTGTTGCTACTAAGTTTGGGGATTATGGTCAATTTGTCTGGTATGGTGGTTCGAACCGAAAAAGCTAAAAGGTCAGTGAAACACCTGTAAATTCCACACGCGGTGTCGGAACTGCTGTAGCTGATTTTGCTTGATTTTGCTTCTATTAACTTTTCGCGTGCTGCAACATTGCGAAGTGCATTTGTGTCGGGTTCGACTCAGAAAAAAGCCACGGTCGGCAAAAACCCTGAAGTTCGACACCGGGTGTCGGTTTAGGGACCTATGGGTTTTCGCTGACATTTCTTGTGCTTCCGGTTGCAACCACAAACTGCGGGTGCAACTGGAGCAATTGCAGGCGAGCTCGCTGCAAGCACTTGACTTGGAACATCAGGTCAGCCATGGAAAGGCTGGGGGTTTGACTTATGAACGCTCCGTTGCCCTGTTCGCGCTGTTCGTTTGCGGGGCGTTGTTCGCGGGGCGTTGTTCGTGCTGTTGGCGCTGTTCGCGGTGTTCCCGGGGTGCTGTTCGTGGTGTTCGTGATGTTCGCGCTGTTCGGAAGGGCTTGCAGCACCACCTGCATGGGTTTGAGACTTAGGAATGCTGAGGGCTTGGATCGGGCTTAGGGTTTGGGTAGGGGTCGGTGAAAGTTAAAGCCCCTAAACCCCTAAAGTTCTTCACAGCCAACAACCCTGAACGCCTAAACCGTGAAGACCTCGACCCTAAACCCTAAACCCTAAACCCTAAACCCTAAATTCTAACCCTAAACCTAAGCCTTGGATGTGAGCTCTATCACGTTTCGGGACCCCCTCTGTAGAACTATCTCCTGCTATGTTCTGCTTGGTAGTTGGGGGCCATTTCTGCCTTATTCCTCAGAGGATTTATGCATTGTTTTCTGAGGATTTATGCCATATTTCTCGGGAGGTTACACCTTGTTGCTCGAAGGATGTATGTCTTATTTCTCGGAGGAGTTACGCCTTATTTCTTGGAGGACTTGTGCCAGTTCCTCTGAAATAAGGCATGACTAGATCCTTTAAGAAACACAGCGCACACCTCCGAGAAATACGGAGGAATCCCCCGAGAAATAGGGCATAAGTCCTCCAAGTCCTCCGAGAAAAAAGGCATAATTCCTCCCAAGAATTCGGCACAAACCCCACCAAGATAAGAGAAAAACAAAGCAAAAATCCAGCCGAAATACAACAAACATAAGGCGTGACAATGGTACAAAGAAAACGTGTTACAACGCACCTCCAACCCTAACAGTGTCTCGACGATAGGAAGAGCCGACAAGAGCCGACACTTCGAGATTTCTTCGTCTCAATGATGTGCACCCGTCGCGAAGGTTTTACATTTTGAGTTTCATGTTCTTAAAAGGGGCAAGAAGTCCATCGGGCAAGAGGGCTAAACTTATTTTTGTATGCTTTCGGGTTTATGATATTTGTTATTCGAGATTTTGGGTGAATTTTGTAAGGGATCTGCTTACATTTTCAAGGCATGTTTTTTTGGAGCATTTTTCTGAATATGACCCTCAGCCCTATAAACCCTAAACCCTATAAACCCTAAACCCTAAACCCATAATTAGACTGTGTTCGCGGTGTTCGCGCTGTTCACGCTGTTCGCGGGGCGCTATGGTGTTCATGAGTGGGGGGTTTAGGGTTTGCTTCTGGCCAGGCTCTTCGGGGGGAATCTGAGGCTCATGGAAGTTCACCGAGCGGGACGCCAGTAGTTCACGGACACGGCGGCCGGCAGGGGAAGCAAAACCTGTTTGGGGTAGGATCGGTCGGTTAGGGGGTTAGGTTGGGCTAGGTGTGGTTAGGCGCCGCTAGGTTAGGGTTTGGGGTTCCTAGCTCACAAGGAAGGTGTAAAAAGAGCCTCGAACCCTATATCACAGCCCTACACACCTACACACAGACCCAAAAGTGCATGCCCAGAACCAAACGTCCGGCAAGCGGACGCCCGAGTGCTACCGCCGAGGCGGGTCTCCAAGGCTCCGGAAAAACGAGGCACGAGCAACCATGCGGTGCGGAGGGCCTCGGCAAGTGCTTGCGAGCCAATCTGCGCGGATTGCACGTCGGCCATCGGTGACTGCAGGACTGCAGGATCTCTGATCGAGCTTCCAACAAGTGGTGTCGGTGTCATCCTCCTGGCCACAGCACGCAGGTTCAGCGCGAGCCAAAACATCCGTAAGCTGAGGCACGACAAGAGTTGGAGGTGTAGCTACTTGCACACAACATGCTACAACCGGGAACTGACTCACGCCTGCGCCCCAAAAGTCTCGAAGTTCGCTTCGTCTCCGCGCGCTTCACGCTTCTGGCACGGAAGAGGTTAGCACATCCAGGCCCCATCGAAGCTAAGCCTGAAGCCGCTGTAAGCCCCATTTTAAGCCCAAAGGCCAACAGAAACTCTTGGCTCTTCTCTGAGCAGCAGAGAGCTGAAGGAGGCCCCCCTCTGCTCAGTGAACTTGATAAGAAAACGTTGGCTTAAGAACCTGAGGGGGCC